CTCTGGGGCTTGGGAACCAGAGCACAGGGCACGGGTAGGGGACGGTATGTGCAGGGAAGGGGCTTCCTCCTTTGCCTACCCCTCCATCGGCTGCTTCAGTTGCCTGAGACGGTATCATAGACCCCATCCCATGATTGAGCACTTGCTGAATACCAGACTCTAAAAACATGATCTTAAAGGTCCACGAAGACCTCCAACCCCATGGGAGGGCACTGGAGCTTCTGGGGCTGAGTTAATAACAATGGCATCACCATTATCAGGTAATCCACCCAGGTTCACACTAACATTAGTCCCCATGACTACACTGATGACACTGGCTGCCCTCCCACCACCTGGGGGCTACAAGATGTGGAGTCCCAGCCCCCCTTTCCACAACTCCTGTCCCCGATCCCAAGCACAGCCTGTCCTTCCCCTGGGCCGACCCAGGAGTGGCTCTGCCCACAGGGCCCTCTGTCTGTTCCTGGTTACTGACCCTTGACTTCCAGTAAGGCCTGTCCCCCAGGACAGCCCCTTCCTTTCCTGGCCCACAGTCCATCCCGGGGGTCCCTGGCCATCTCTGGGCAGGGACGTCTTCCTCTTTTCCCAGCCAAGATGTTGGCTCTGTGCTGAAGCCGCCTGGGAGCCCACGGTAGGTGGCCACCCTCTCTGCCTCAGCCCCCAGCAAGAGGGCAGGGCCTCTCCTGTGGGGCTACCTGTCATGGGGGCACCTCAGCCTTTCCCTACTGGCCCCCAAGGACACCCTCCTTCTCTGCCCCGCTCCCTTGACCTCAAGCCCCATCCTGCCTCTGACCCTCAAGTAACAGGTCCACTCTTCCCGCATTGCCTGCCATAATGAAGTCAGCCACGTCCTCACCCATATCCTCAGTCTAATCCCACACTGTCCCCGGCAGAGGCCATGGCTCCAGGAAGTTCCTGGACAATTGAAATGTGAGTAGTCCAAATAGACGCCGTGAAAATGTAAAATACGCTCCAGTTTTAAGACTTGCTACAAAAAAGAATGCAAAATATCTCGCCGATAATGTTTATATGGATTAGCGGTTGAAATAATATTTCAGATATTCTAGGTTAAATATAACATACTGCCAGGTGTGGTGGTGCACGCCTGTAATCCCCGCTGCTTGGGAGGCTGAGGCAGGAGGATCACAAGTTCAAGGCCAACCTCAGCAACTCGCAAGACCCTGTCTCAAAATAAAAAATAAAGAGGGCTGGGGACGTGGTTCATCCCCAGGTACAGCACACCTGGGTTCAATCCCCAGGACCACATGTGCATGCACACACTCACAAACACACACACACACAGTTTTACTTAGGTTTTCTTTTACGTAGCTACTAGAAAGTTTAGAATCAGAGGAGGGGAGATTCCAACCTCACTGTCTACAGCTGAGTCTAATGGACAAGGCAGGGAGGGCCGGGAAGGTGTATCCTGACTTCCTTCACCCTGTCTCGCTACTGAGTCTGTCCCGGAGGGGCTGCCCCAACCAGCCTTCATGTCCTTCCCAAACCTCAGTTTGGACTCATATGAGAAACACTTTTTAGTGAACGTTGACCCTCTTTCCTCTGGGGCTGGCTGGAGGAACCTTGGCTCATGTGGAGGTATAAATGGCATCTTCAGTGGCCCTGGGAGGAAGCACCACTGGGGTCCCAGATCTGGCTGAGCCCTACTCTGCCTAGGTCAGCCCCACAGTCCATTGTCCTCTCTGTAGCTCAGGATCCCACTCAGCAGCAGGTCCTGTGTTTCACGGATGATGGGACCATGTGTACACAAGGAAGAAAACAGAAGCCACACCCCAGGGATTCTGTCTACACAGCATCCGTCCCCATCTCCTAGAAGGTTCATCAGCACTTACAATCCAACATTCTTGGATGAGAGGGGAGACAGACACATGTTACCCACCAACTGCCTTCCATGATGGCCAGGCCAGGGGGGGATAAGAGCAAGCCCAGGGGGACCTTGTTAAAGACCCTCAGAGAGTTCCAGAGGACAGGGATGCTGGGCATGGGAGCAGACCCAGAGGTCGTGGAAGCCCAAACCAGGGAACCTCCAGCCCCCAGGATCAGCCTGGGGGCTGGAGAGCAGCTTCGGAGGCCAGTCGGAGGAAGGAAGGAGACAAGGCAGGTCAAACTTGTGGGGTTGGAAGTCCCCACTCAGAGATCTGGAGTTTCTCCGAATGGCCACTGAGGGTTTCTTTTTCTTTCTTTATTTAATTTTCGGTGGACACAACATTTATTTTTATGTGGTGCTGAGGATCGAACCCAGGACCCTGCGCATGCCAGGTGAGCACACTACCGCTTGAGCCACATCCCCAGCCCACCACTGAGGGTTTCTAAGCAGAGCAATGACATTCTCAAAGCTGTGCAGAGATCCGGAGCTGTGTTCTTAGATGGTGCACCTGGAGGAGCAGGATTGGAGAGGTGGTGTTCAAGAGACTCACCTGTGAGTGGAGCCCTGGCCCACATGGGCCAGGCAGCCAGCAGGTGGTGAGGTTTGTTAAGGGTAAGGGCCGGGGGACCCTGCTGCTCTCTGCAGATGGCTCTCGGGTGTGCCCTTATGTCATCTGTGCAGGTATTCAGGGAGGTGGCTGTCCTCTGGGCCTGGATGAACGAGAGGGCAAATGAGTGCCATCATCAACCCCTGCACCCCGGGTCCTTGCGTTGGGTGTAGCACACATTGGGCTAACATGCACTGGGTGATCATTTGATGGATTTGGCCCTGAACCCAGGCCCCTTTTGAGAGGAGCGACCGCAGCAAACACAGGCTGCTAGGGACAGGGGGAGATTCGAGCTGGGCGCAGGACATGGGACCCTGGCCCAGCAGCCTCACGTCTACCCCAGCAAGTGCCCCTGCACACCTCTCCTGGATCCCCACAGCAAATCTTCTCCCGCTGGCTCCAGCCTCTTTCCCAGTCCTGGAATTAATAAAGCCTCCGAGCCGACTGCGGTTTGTAAGTCTGAAAGCTGGTTCCTGCCCACGTCACTGCCCCAAGAGGAGTGGGGCCCAGTTCCCCACCAGAACCCCTTTCCTTCCCCCTTCCTGGGAAGAAGGCAGACACACAGATGCACCCCTGACCTCCCTCCCCTCCCAGCAGACGGCTCCCAGGCACAGCAGCTCAGCCCCTACCCTCGGACCCCTGCCCCTACCAACAAGGGCTGACTTGGGGGGCTTTAGGCGCCCCCCCAACCAACACACTTCCAAATAAACATACACCATGTAAGAACTATATGTTTAAAGATGATTCTCCTAGTGTGTCCACACCTCCCAAAATTTAGGAGCTGCTTTGACCAGAGACCAGGGGGAGGCAGAGATTGCCTGGGGTCCCAGGGTGGCCTGGCAGAGAGCCATCCTGATAGCTACGCTAAAACCAGGAACAGCTCTTGAAGACCTGGTGGTGACAATGGCAGTCCCAGTGGTCCCAGAGGGTATAGAGTGCATTTGTAAGCTGCAGGCACAGGTGGAAGTAGATGACCATGTTCAATTTACCTTTGCAATCATCTTCCTGGGAAGGGACATTTGTCACCCTCTGAGAGGTGAGGAGACTCGAGCCCTGTGGAGAAGTTAGCCCACTAGAAAGTGCCACAGCTGGAACTCAGTCCCAGGTCCACCTGAGTTCCAAACCTGCGTTTGACCTCTTTCCTCCTGGCCACTCCCTGCCAGCCCTGCAGACTGCCACCGTGTTTCTGGCTGGACGAGGGGCATTAACTCATCCCTCTGTGCAGGGAAAGCCCCAGAGACATGGTCCAGACTGTCCCCTGACCGGCTGTGTCTTAAGGCACAGCTTCCTCTCCTATCCTGTGGTTCCAACATCTATTTCCCACTAGTGAGGGCTGGGGGGGGGGACATGACCCTCCCCTGATCCACCATACACACACCCCAAAACCCCCAGAGCCCCATCCTGCTCAGGCCGAGAGCATCGGGGTTCTGCTGCCGGCTGCCCCAGCTGCTCAGCGCAGGCGCCCCCTGCTGGCCATCAGAGGAATGGCGATCCTGGACATTCTCCCAAGAGCAGAGAGCCAGTCCTGAGTCTGGGGCTCTGGGGTCTTATCTGGACACTAGTACTGCTCAGCCTTGGGACAGGTGGTGAGCAAGTGACAATGAGGAGACTGGACAGTCTGTCAATATGCATGGGGCTCCCACCTCCCTGTTCCCCATAGTGACCTTTGCCAGACATTGTGACCTGTATGGAACTGTGGCCTCGACCCGTGCAGAATAGAACCTCATATGTCAGGGTCCCCTGCATGCCCCAAAGGTCTCAGGGGATAATGTAAACGTGGCCTTCACTCCCAGGCCATTCTCCTGACTGCATTCTCCTGGCCTCTGCAAATGTCTACCACAAACCTGTCCAACACCCTGTTGCAGCTTCAGGCAGGAGACTGAGTCCTTGGCCCATGCAGAAAGGAGCCTTATAACATTCCAAGGTCTCCATGCTGTCCCGTGTGTGCTCCAGACAGCACCAACCTTACTGGTCCTTCTACAGAGGGGCCCTCGACCTCTGCAGACATTGCGCTCTTGTCCTGCCCAACCTCCCCATCCCAACTTTGGGCAGGGTGGGTCTCTAGCCAGGCTTAGGGGTGCTGGGGTGTCTGGAGGGCCAGGGTGGGGGCTGAGGCTCAAGACAGCTGGCCTGTGTCCCCACACTGGGCCCAGGGCCCAGCCATAGGGGCGGGGGCCTGGCCACTCAGGACTTGGCGAGGGCCGGCCGTTTTGGCCGGGCTGCGGGGCCCTCCCTCCTGCTTCCTCTCCTGAGGGCCGTCCTGGCAGAGGCCCCCTCGCACTTTCTGGCGGGAACGGGGCCAGCAGCGAGAGCAGCCACAGAGGGAAAGCGGGAAAGGGATGGGGAAAGTGTGTGTGTGTGTGTGTGTGTGTGTGTGTGTGTGCGCGCGCGCGCGCGGGCGTGAGCGCGAGTGTGTGTGCAGGAGAAGGCCCTGGGTCCAGGCGGCCCCGCCGGAGGCTGCAGCGGGGCTTTCGTAATTGCCCCCTCCCGGCCCCCGCCGGCCTCCCCCGCCCGCCGCCGCCCGCCTCCGCCCGCCTCCTTCCCGCGCAGCCGACCAGGCAGCAATTACGCTTTGGGGATAAAACGAGGCGCGGAGAGCAGGCCGGGGCATTCCTCCCCGAGATGGCGATGGCGGGTCTGACGGCGGCGGCCCCGAGGCCCGGAGTCCTGCTGCTCTTGCTGGCCCTCCTCCACCCCGCGCAGCCCGGAGGTAAGGGCCCTGCCCGTTCCCACGCTGCTGCCCGCGCCCCAGGCGGCGGACGGACAGGGGGCCTGAGGGTGGACTGGCCGGCAGAGCCTCCACCCCCCCGACCTCCCAACCTCAGCCCACGAGCCTGGAAGCGCCGGCCCCCGTGCGCAAGGGGGTCCTGTCAAAGGACCCGCAGCTCAGGACGGTCCCACCTCGTGCCAGGCTCTGCTGCCCCGAGAGGGCTGCGGGGCCCCTGCGCCACCCGGTGCGCTCTGCCGGGTGGTGCGCACCTGCGGACCAGCCGGTGTGCTGCGTGCAGCCCGCGGGGCAGGGGACCTGGATTGGAGATCACAGTGAGCTTGTGACCTCGGCAGGTTCCTCCTCCGATGGGAAGTCCCCCTGAGGAAGGTCCAGGTCAGGTTGGTTACGGGACTGCAGATTGGAGAGCTGCTGCTGTAGTCTGTCCCCAGGGAAGGGACTCGCAGAGTGTGTTTCACATGTGCTCATGTATGAACAAGTGTGTCGCGTGCTACATTGCACAGGTGTCCCTGTGTGCCCGTGCTCAAGCTTGTCGCTGAAGCAGGGGGACTTTCTGGGGTGGTTTGAACATCCACTCACAGGCTCACCGCTGGACAGGTGTTTGTGTACAGGGCAGGGGGCTCCAGGAGCTGCCACCCCACAGACAACTACACATGGAAGATCTGGCATGCAGATGTGTCCCTGGGTGTGGATTGTCACTGTGCATGTGACCGTGAGTGTCTGCATGCACAACTCTGTGTGTGTGAGAGACGGGGAGTCCGAGCAAGGAAAGGCAAGCTGGGGAAGGTGACCACCTCCCGGCAGAGGGACAAGCCAGTGTCACAGGCTGGAGTGGACCCCAGTCTGTTGCTGGCCTATCTGGTGTGTGTCCAGACCCAGATGCTGCTGTATTTGTGGGACTGTCCACAGGGGCCAGCTGGGAGCCCAGAGGTGCCTTGGGCTACAGGAAGAGAGAGGTGCAAGATCACTGGCCATCTGCTGCGGTGGCCTAGGTGGGGTCTGTTTCCATGGGAACCTCCTTGCCATGAGAGCCAGACTCTGACTGGGCAACAGTTGGGGCCCAGGGTGCCTCAGGGCTGTTTCCATGAGATTGACCTGCAGGGCCAGATGCTGGGACAGGAGCTTCCTGTGCAGGGTCCAGTCCTGGATGAGGCCAAGGGATGTGGGCACCAGTGGTAGTGGGGAGCAGAGAGCCAGCCCCTGAGAGCAGTGTCTCTGGGCTGTCTGGGTCCCCTCCCCCAGGTGTGGCCCCCAAACACCCCCTCACCTCCTTCCCAGCCAGTACCACCACCTGTGAGTGGCAGTGAACCCTCCAGCTGGGAGAGACGGGAATCATTATCTCCACTTCACACCTGGGAAACTGAGGCTCGGTCAGTCTCAGGCAGCCCCCGGGGGTCAGCACCAGCCAGCTCTCTGCCCTGGGTCAACAGAAGAGGGAGTTGGGATAAGGTACCAGGCAACATTGGGGAGGGGGACAGAGACCTGGAGTGAGTCCTTTAAGGGCAAAGTAACCCAGTTCCTCTAGCCCTGGTGACATCATTAATCCCTCAGAGGGTATCATTTTTTACAAAGATAAATCTCCATTCTATCCCAAACTTCTGGACTGGCTGTGTTCAAATAAGGGGCTTTGTGAATGGATAAGCTCTTATGGGGTTTGGGTGCAGAGTCAGGAGACGTCAGGAACAGATACTGCAGTCGCGCACTCCCGGCACCCACCTGCATACCCTGGGGGAGCCCAGCCTCTCTGCAAGAGGAGGGTGTCAAGTGTGCAAGTTCCCTAGTGGGGTCACGACAGCATTTCCTGGGAAGAATAACCCCCCTAGAAATACCCTCAGGCTTCTTCCCCATCCCCCGGATTTCTGAGCCAATGGTGGTTTGGATCGGGGCTTTCAACCCTGGCTGGGTCCGAGAGCTCCCCAGGGGAAACTTGAACAATTCCTATGCCAGGTCCCACCCAAGGATTCCTCCTCCATTTGGTCTGGAGAGGAACCTGGATGGGGGGACATTCTTTTAAGCTCCCCAGGTATCTCTGATGAGCTGCCAGAGCCAAGAAGCTCTGGCTTAGGGATGGATCCAGCTCTGTGTGTCTGCTGGGGCCTCGACAGGAACACAAATATGCCCCCACGTGGGAGGGGACAGAGTCACCCACCGAGGACAGATTGTTTTTGAAAAACCATTGGCAACCTTTTCCTGCAAACAACAAAGCCTCGTGAGGTTTTATCTGCTCCCCAGCCGCCCCCCCCCCCCGGGACTTGGCTTGGCAGAGCCCCCTGCCAAGGCCCACGGCCGCGGCTCCCTCCCAAACAGGCTTTTCCCAGATCTTTGAACCTGGAGCCCAGGCTCCGGGCAGAAGGCCCTGCATGTGACTGGGGTCAGCTACAGGTCCCAGGCCAGCCCTTCGTCTCTCTGGCTCTCGGTTTCCCTGGCTGCAAAATGGGAAAAGACATCCCGTCTGACGTCCCCTCCTCCTAGAGTCAGTGGGAGCTACAGCCATGTCACCCCTGCCAAAAATGCCTTCAATCAGAGGACTGTGGGAATGTCCAGATGTAAAACGATATATTCTCGTATTCAGGCTGATGGATCCTTGCGGTTCCTTTCTAGGTTTAATTTCTCAGGTTGAATTCTCCCCCCAGGGGAGCAGAGGTATAAATGGCTGTGCGCTGATAGAGGGCACAGACAGGACTCGGGGAATAGGTGGCCCAGGAGCCCCAAGAAACCCAGGAGGGCTTCCCAGTGTGGAAGGGATGTTTAAGCCAGACCTTGAACGAAAGGTCCAACTTTCTTTCGAGGGGCTGTGAGTCGGGGAGCGATGGGCCTCCTCCATCCGGGGGGCTCTGGCCGTGGAGCAGGAGAGAAGGGGTCCATTCAGCCTCAGCAGGAGGAAGACCCCTTCAGGTAGAACCGAGGGGAGAGAGGGAGCTTCCGTCAGGGGAGGTTTGCAGAAGTTCCAGCCCAGGCCAGAGACTGTTCTGATCCCTGAGAGCCGGGGATCAGGATTCTTAGCTGCAAGACAAGTTCCGCCCTGGGCTGCTTCAGTAGGACCAGCCAAACCCACATAAAACAAGACGAGTGTGTTCCAGGCCGCCAGGCCAGCTGAGCGCCCGGCGAGAGGAGCGGCAGGCCCAGGAAGGCAGAGGCAGAACAGCTCGGCCTCGGAGCCAGGGCGGGCCTGGAGGGAGGCGAGGGCATTCTTGGCAGGAAGCGCGCTTCTGTCGAGGAGGTGGGAATGCGGGTGACCCGCTGGGCTCTGCCAGGAGCCTGCCACTTCTCCAGGGCCCTTTCTCCACTCGGGTCCCATTTTCCTCTCACCTGCCCCACATTGGAAGAGAGACAGGGCAGAAACGGCTGCCCCAGGGTGGTCAGGGTTTGGGTGTGGAGTTTGGCCAGCCCTGTCCCAGATCTGAAATGTGGGCGTGGAGAGTGGGGAAAAGGGAAGCAGCGTCCTCCTCCGGAAAGGGCCTGGCCACAAGTCCAGCACCAGGAGAGAAGTGGGGTTCAGCCAGGCCTGGCAGCTGCACAAGTCTGAGATGGGGAGACCCCAGGGCAGATACGATGGGGTGAAACAGGTCAGACCCAGATCCATAAGTGTCCTCTCTCTGCCTCCCCTGCACCTGCTTCACCCATTGTTCACTGAGCACCTACTATCCACCCAACCCAAGCAGCAGAGTTGGAAGAAATGGAGATTAGAGGTCACCGATAGTTTGTTGTTGTTGTTGGTGTTGTTGTTTTGTTTTGTTTTGATTTTTGAACAATGACTCTGGGCCAGGTACCGACAAGACACAGCCTCTTACTTGAACCCTTGCAACCGTGCAAGGCAGTGAGGATCAGCCCCACTTTGAAAAAAGGAAACTGAGGCTCAGAGAGGTTAAGTGACTTGCCTGAGGTCACACAGATAGTAAGAAGCAGCAAAGTTAAGATTAGAAGCCGGGGGCTAGGGGGGATCTGTCCTGAGCCCCCTCCAACCCTTTCCCACCCACCTCACTGTCCCCTGCTGTCTTCTCTGGAGCCTGAAGGCAGAGAAGAGGGGAGAGAGGACCACGAGAAAGGAGGGGAGAAAGTGCAGGAAGAGAGGCTGAGGCAGAGAGAGATGCATTGGGAGCTGGAGGCCAGAGCCAGAGACGGCACCAAATCCCCAAGGCAAGCCCTGTGTGGACTTGGCAGCCGATGACAGGGCCGCCTGCTTGTTCCCAGAAGGCCCAGCCCCCTGGGGCCACTCCTCCAATCCCCCAGGCTCTGGCCAGATTGCTCACACACTCCAGGACTGGACTGCGGTCCCCAGGGGGCCGCAGACCCCGGTGCTGGCTTTGGCATGGGGTGGCCAAGACAGCCAGCATCCCCAGCCCTGCTGAGCTCTAGCTGAGGCTGACCAGGCCCAGGGGCCAGCTGGGACATATCACCCGGCCCTGGAGCCAGACATCTGGCCACGGTGCCTCTCAGATGCACTGCAAATCTGCGTGGCACTGCCTCTGAGCCAGCCTGTGCCCCCCGAGACGCCCCAGCCCCCAGGGACAGGGCGGGGCTGGAGCCTTGGCAAGGTGACTGGTCAAGGTTGGGAGCGTTCTGTGGTGGAGCCAGGGCCTGGTTTGAGACCCGGCTGGTTGCCATGACAACGGCTCAGGCCTAGGTCCAGGGCCAGCATGCCAGTATCCTCCAGTGACAGCTTCACTGGTCCATGGGGACCGTACTCGTGACCTTGGCCGGGGAATTAGCTGTGCCTTAAGAAACTATTCACTTTGCTCATTCATGATGTCTCCCTCCCGGACCCGGCGCCTCCCTAAACAGCCCTGTGTCAGATGGCCAGGACTCCACCCCAATACTGTGGCCCAGTGGTTCGGGACGCTGACCTCACGCCATCCTATCAGGGTGGGAATGGCCGCGATCTTGCTGGCAGCCGCTGCAGCCGGCTCTGCCCTCCCACAGCTCTGGCTCTGACCCGGGCTGCTCAGTGCAGGAGGGAACTGTCTGCCCAGCGCCCAGCCCCAGCCCCGTGCAGAGCCCTCTGCCCCTAAGGAGATCAGGTAGCACCACATCACAGCATTCTCAGAGGCTGGGTCTGGGTTGAGCCCAGGCCCCATCTTGTTTCAGCTGTGTGACCCCAGACACATCCCTTAACCTCTCTGAGCCCAACTTCACATCTGTTAAATCCCTGAGAGTGATCCCTGCCCTTCCAGCCTCCTGGAGCTACTCTGAGAAGCGAGAATTTGAAAATGTAAACAGAACCTGCTTTGTCAACAAAACCATTACCATTCTCTCCTGTTTATCCATGTCACCAAGCTTTTGTGAGTTCTGACTGATGAAAGACTCTACCTCCTTCCTTCCAGGGGTCCCAGGGGCTGTTCCTGGTGGAGTTCCTGGAGGAGTCTATTATCCAGGTAGGACACTCAGCAGCCACGCACCCAGGCGGGCAGAGGGGATGGAGATGCTCGGAAGAGATGGCATGTTTTGTCACTGCAAGAACATTAGCATGCCTACCCCTGGGGACCCACCAGTCAGCCCCTTAGGAGTGCAGCTAACACGGCCCTGATTTACAGCTGCAAAGAGCATAAATATTCTGAAGGATAAAACACGGCTCTTGGGGAGGAGGGCACAGGCACACATTCCTACCTTAGGTTTCACCGTCTTCTAACCATGAACCCCGCTCTTGGCCACCCATTCGAGGCAAATAATTGTAAAGAACAGAAAAACCGCAGCTCACAGGAGCAGTCTTTGCAGAAATCTGCATAGCAAGCCACCTATCTGATTGGCAGGTGTGATTAACTCAACAACTCAGGCCCCAGGGCGAAGTGTAGTATGGGTCCCGGGCTGGGTGCTGATGAGGACTGTGAGTCCCCGAGAAAGAATGGGCAGGATGTTGGGACAATGGTACGAGGGAAGGGGGACTTTTTTTCCTCTATTAATCTAGGGGGAAACATAATGTTTTTAAGTCAATAAAAAAAAATTGAAAGGAGCCTTTTCAATACTGGAATCAGAGGAAGCCTGGCAGGACCCCAGGGCACACAGTGGCCCCAGGATATTGACCCAGGGAGGAGAAACAGAGGGTCACAGAGGTTGACCTGCCCAAGGTCGGGCAGCCGGGCAGAGGTCGGCGGGAGGAGGGATGGAGAGCGGCTTCTCTGGAGGATGCTGATGGTTTTTTCTCTCTCCTCACAGGGGCTGGTCTTGGAGGCCTGGGAGGAGGAGGTGAGACCACAAACCAGCAGGTGGGGGGGTCCTGTGGCCACACTCACCCTCAGGGCCCAGCTCCCCAGAAGGTCCAGGTATCAAAGTCCCAGATTGAGTGTCCCGTGGGAAGACACCTGTCTGAGAACTGAGCCCCCAGACCTCTCCAGCCCTTCCCCTGGCTCTTCCCTGGGCCCCTACCGACCTCAGACCTCCATCCTCACTCTCCCCGGGGTAGGGGTAACTAGTAAGATGTGGGCCGGGGCCCCCTTCACCCCCATCTCCTCTCTCTGCAGCTCTGGGGCCCGGAGGCAAACCACCCAAACCAGGTAAGAGAAGAGTAAGAGGCTCAGAGTCCTAAGGGAAGGCCGAGAGGCCGGGGAGGGCTGACTCAGGGCACTGGGGGGCAGGAAGGGGAGGGGAGGGCAGCAGCAAGGGTCCTCCTTGGGTAACAGGTGCCCAGCTCTATCCTGTAACTGCCCACGCATCCAGCTCCCCAGAGACAGACCTCTGCTCAGGGCCTCAGAAACAGCCCCAGCGCTGGAGGCCGAATTAGAGATTGAGGTCCCAGTGGCCACCAAGCCTGTAAAACAGTGCTGCAGGAGCAGGCGCAGACGAGGGCCCCAGACTCCACCTGCTCGGCCTTCAGACCCTTGATCCCAAACTAACCCCTGTCTAATCCCAGGTTGAGACCCCCGATAGGCCTGAGCTTGATGCCGGTCTGAGCCCTTATCCTGACCCCTGACCAAGCCCCAGGCTGAACCCTGACCCTCACCCCAGACGCTAAAGTGGAGCTCCCTTCTGGCCCCAGGCCCCGTCCAGCTGTGTCCAAACTGTGGAGCTTTCCAGTAGGAAGGCGGGGTAGGTCTGTCCAGGCCTCACCCCCGGGGGGCTCAGATCTGCCCCCGAGGGCCACCCTCAGCTCTGGGAAATTCACCCCAAGGGGGCGTCTCTTGGGACTCTGGGGGATGAGGAGCAGGTGGAGGCCACAGGGTCTCCACTCAGATTTATGGCCCCTGGTGTGAGATGCTGCACATGTGGCCTTGGCGTCCCCACCCGGCGCCATACGGCCCTGGCTCTGAAGCCCCAGGCTCCAGGACACAGCTTGGCTGCCCAACAGCTCTTACGAAACCCTGGCGGCCCCTGATCCAAGCACAGATGAATCCACAGAGTCCCCTTCGCTAAAAGCCCATCTGCGTTGTGAAACCCCGGGGCGGGGGCCAGCAGGAGAAGCAGAGGGGTGTGTGGGCCAGAGGGACCCTGGGGTCTGAGGGGTCTGCCAGGCCAGGAGACCGGGCCCGCTGCTTCCCCCGGCTTGAACCCCATCCTGTCCTCCTGGAGGGTGAGGGCTCTTAGCAGGGTCTTGGGAGGCGGAGAGAATGCAGGGATGGCCAGACGAGCCGTGGTGTGGAGAGAGGACCGTGCACAGCATAGAAGGCCCAGGTGTGGAGGTCACACCTCCAAAGATAGAGGGTGCATTCACTGATTGACCCCATAGACAGTGGAGGAACCAGGCGAGGTTGTCATTAAGTAATGGAGGGAAGACTGAGGTACCTGCGTGCAGTCTCCCGATGGATCGTAGCTAAAGTGAAGCTTCTACTGATGAAAGACTTAGGTTAGACTTCCAAAAGAACTTCCAACTCAGGCCAAATGAATAGACCAAAAGGAAAGTCAGGATATCTCCTTTGGAAGCCAAGAGCACTGTCTGGAGGAGGAGGGCTGGATTCCACGACCTCCCTAAGGTCACCTTTCAGCCTCAGGATTTAGGGCTACAAAGGCTTTGGCAGAGCCAATGTGGCTACCCGAACGAAGCTCCCTACATCCGGGCTGGGGGGACATCCGGGCCTGCCCAGGCAGGACGGAATGGGTCACAGGCGCTGCCTGTCATGCTTGGGAACAATTAATCCCTTGGTGATAGAGGGTGGGTGGCCTGGCAGCTGCTCCTACACGTGGGCCCCGCAGGCTGTCCCCGCCCTGGTTCAGGCTCAGCGGGGGACCAGGCAGCTGGGAGCCTGCACTGCCCACACCCGAGCTCTAGCTGGAGGACAGCTGCCCACCCAGAGCGGGGGGCAAGGACAGGACGGGCTGGGGGCACCCCTGGGCGCGCTGGTTCCCAGGAGGCAGGGAGCGTTAGGGCCACCTGCAGATGGGGGAGCTGAGGCTCAGAGAGGGGAGGTGACTCGCTCCTGCACACAGAGCCGCAGGGGCAGGAGGATCTGAATCAGAACTTTCTGACTCCAGAAATAAAAGTGGTTGGGCTGGGGGCTGGGGGGGCTCTGGGCCGTGTTCAGCCCCTCCCCTTTCTCCTCTCCAGGTGCAGGACTCCTGGGGGCATTTGGAGCAGGTGAGTCCAGGGAAGGGCACACACAGGGGTGGAGCTGGCCCCAGGGGGAGAGCATTCTGGGGGACCGAGGGAGAAAGACAGATGATGCACAGGGGCTGTCTGTCCCCAGGCCTGACCCCACCCCTGCCCCAGCCTCTCCTTAATTCCACTGTGGTCCCATCTCTTCCTTCCAGCCCCTGTGGACAGGAAAGATCCAAGCATGTCCCCTGCCCCCTGGGAGATCAGGAAACAGACCTGGCTTGGGGACAGCCACTGCCAGAGCCAGGAAGGTTTGGGGACAGCCACTGCCCGAGGCCAGGAGGTTCACCAGGCAGCCCAGGCCCTGTCTGTCCACCTCCAGGGGCAGTTACAGACCCATCTTACAGAGGGACTGCCTGAGCTTCCCAAGGCCCAGGCCACGCAATTAAGAAGTGAGTGGGGCCAGGCACAGTGGTGCCCGCCTGTAATCCCAGCGGCTCAGGAGGCTGAAGCAGGAGGATCGAAAGTTTGAGTCCAGCCTCAGCAACTTAGTGAGGCCATAAGCAACCTAGTGAGATCCTGTCTCAAAATAAAAAATAAAAAGGGCTGGGTTTGTAGCTTGGTGGTTAAGCACCCCAGGTTCAATCTTCAGTACCAGGAAGAAAGAGAGAGAGAGAGAGAGAGAGAGAGAGAGAGAGAGAGAGAGAGAGAGGGAGTGGGCAGGACTGGTTAGAAGAGAGACCACAACCAGCGCGAGCCCACTAGTCTCCCCCAGGGCTCAGCAGGCCCCGTGCTGGAGGTCCCTGGAGAGTGTTCCCCCGGGGCCTGGACCCTGGCAGCCAGGACTGGTGCTCGCAGGAGAGATTCTCATAATTGGAAACAAACCTGTGTAGCTGTAAAGTCCAGCCCGATTGCCCATTGTCCCAGCCAAGGCCGAGGAATGTCCCCTGGGAGGGGCAATGGGGCCCAGATGTGGGGAGGAGAGTGCCAGGGACCCATCTGGCTCTAGCCACGAGGCTCCTGGACTGCGGGGCAGGCTGGACAGAAGGACAGATGATGGGGACAGACCCAGGTGAAGTCAGAGGCACCTGCGAGGGAGCGGGCAGGCCCAGGTGGGGCCCCTGGCTTGGCTGAGGCCTAGCCTGCAGCCCGTGCCAAGCTCTGGCCCTGCAGGAAGCCCTGCTGCCTCTGGTTGGCTGTTAGGGGCACAGCCCCTCCCAGGTCGCCAGGGGCTTCGGCACAGTCCTGTCTACACAGCATAGCGCGTGGTCACTCAAGGGTGGCTACCCTTTTAGCAGAATCACGCAACGTACCAAAGGCCTAAGGAGCAGCTTAGAGACCAGAGTTGTGACCTGCTCGTCACAGCGCTGCCAGGGTCCTGCCCCCACTCTGGGAGACCCTTCTCCCCATGGGCCAGGGCTGGTGCCCACACACCACCCTCCTCTCATCTGCTGTCTTTCTCCGGCAGGTCCTGGAGGGCTTGCGGGCGCTGTCCCCGGGGCAGGTGAGTGTGGACATGCCCAACGGGACTGGTAACTAGGTCCAGTGGGGCCTGAAGCTAAGACCACTTGCTTTGAGCAGCCATGTGGGGCAGGAGGAGGGTCCCAGCTGGGTGAGGGGACTATCACAAGGTAGTGATGAGGACCAGATGGAGGCTGCCCGGGGCATCAGCTCCCCAGGGCATTTGGGAAGGCATGGGGGGGTACTTGGCCCAAAAGATCCTGCTCAGTGGAGCCGGGGCTCCCCTGGCCTCCAACACAGGGTCCAGTCCTCCTGAGCGGCCATGGCTTCCTGGCTGAGGTCTTGCAGGGAGCAGAGGGGCCGCAGATGAGTTTCCTGAGTGGGCAGGGCCGGCGGGCTGGGGCTGAGCAGTTTCCAGGGTGCCGTGCCCAGGACCTCACCCTGTCCTCTCCTCCGCAGGGCTGGGAGCCTTCCCTGCGGGTGCCTTCCCGGGGGGCGTGGTGCCAGGTGGAGCTGCTGGTGCTGCTGCAGCCTATAAGGCTGCCAAGGCTGGTGAGTGGGACCCTTCAGGACGGGTCATCAGCCCCTGGCTTCCCGGGGCTCCACTTTACCTTCTCTTGCCCAGGGCCTGCAAGGCGGATGGGCAGGATCCTCATCTCCAACTTGCGGAGGCTCGGGAGGCAGCCAGGGGGGTTAGTGGCAGGGCCAGAGCTCCAGGGCCTCTGCCTTCCGCCGTCCCTCGAGTGACCCCTCCACCTGGCCCTGCAGGTGCTGGGCTCGGAGGCGTCGGCGGAGTTGGTGGGGTTGGTGGCGTTGGAGGAGTTGGTGGCATTGGAGGACTCGGTGGCGTTGGCGGAGTCGGTGGCTTAGGAGTGTCCACAGGTAAGGTGGCTGACCTGAGTCCCCTGGGCGAAGCCAGCGGGCCGTGGAACCAACCCTCACGTGCCTCCTGCCTTGCCAGGTGCCGTGGTCCCTCAGGTTGGAGCTGGAGTCGGTGTCGGAGCTGGAGCGAAGCCAGGGAAAGTGCCCGGTGAGTGTGGAGTCCCCGGGGCTGGAGGGCAGAGGTCAGGGAGGGGCAGAGCCCCTTCCCCATTGTGCTCGGGGAGAAGGGGCAGGGCCTGGCCGCAGCAGGGCCCGGGAGATGGCCAGGTCAACAGCATGGGACCTGCTTCTGTGGAACGGGGCAGAGGGCCCCCTGGCCCTTCTAGGAACTTGAAGCAGAAAAATGCTTCAGAGACAAGCTCAAGCTTGTGGCAGGCTCTTGGGTGACCGTGTGGACACTGAGGCTCAGCATCGAGAGTCAGAGTGGGAGGGGCTGTGGCTGGTCCTGGCAGAGCCAGGGTGACATCCTCTGACTCTTCGTCTGGTACTCATTCCACCCCACCAAGCCCTGTAGGAAGTGACTTGAGGTTCAACAAAAGGCTGCCTGTCCACTCAGCAGGGAGGGGACATCTGGAAGCTGTTAGCCAGAGGTGGGCTGGCTCCAGGAGACAGACAGAAATCCATGCACGGGAGGGTCAGCAGATGACTTCCGAGAGTCGTAGGAGGAGGGACGCCGACACCCAATGTCTGTCCCTGGCTCCTGCAGTGGGCACAGGGCTGCTCGTTGGGATCCCTGGAGCTGCCTGGGTGGGGGGCTGGCGGAGTCCCTGGACACTGAGCTGATGCTCATGGTACCTCCTTCTCCTCCTGCCTCCAGGTGTGGGGCTCCCAGGTGTATACCCAGGTGGCGTGCTCCCCGGCACAGGTGAGGACCAGAAAGCAAAGGGAAACTTCTAGAAAGAAAGCAGCCCCCATCAGCCTCCCCAAAACCCCACCCCCACAGGCAGAGGCCGTCAGAGGCCTGGAGTCCTGGTCAGTGGCTGTTTTCTTAAGTGTCAGAGCTCTGGCTAGTGAACTAAGCATCAGCCTCCCTGGCCCCACCCAAGCCCTGACCCCAGGCCCCAACCCCCCTCACAGCCCAGGAAGGCCCCCAGGGGTAGACGGAGACCCCAGTGTAGCCAGCTGTTTACTCAAAGTCGTGAGTCACCAGGGGGCCTGCCCAGCAGGTCTGCCCTGCAGGAGACCCCGAAAAGCCGCCCCCACCCCCTTTCCCTGCCAGGGCCTGCCACCCCACCCAACATGTGACCTCCTGAAATCCCCCAAAAGCCCAGATCCAGGCGATTCTGTGGGATTTGCTGACAGAGTGGCCCCCACCCCCTCGGGGTCAGGTCAGTCAGCCCAGCCCCAGGGCAGGAGGGAGAGGAAGGAGACCCTGGCACTCAGTCCCAGGCCACCGCCCGGAGGCTGCTCTGCGCACACACAGCCACTTTGCCCTGACTCTGGCACTCCGTGCTTCTCCCCCGAGGGTGGGCAAGGTGGATTTGTGATGAAGTCCACTCAGGCCTAAGGCCACGTGACTGCAAAATAGGGTGAAAGCTCCGACCTTCTGACTTTGGGCCGGGAAGGGGAGGAGAGTGCCCAGCAATAGGTCCCTGTGAGCCATGCCCATCACAGACAGATCCACCCAGAGACCCGAGGCAGGAGAAGGGCCAAGGAGGGCCTTCTGCCGTAGCCATAGCCCTCTTTGCCCCGCAGGAGCTCGGTTCCCTGGAGTAGGGGTGCTCCCTGGGGTGCCCACCGGAGCAGGAGTCAAGGCCAAGGCCCCAGGTATGCAGCCGGCTGGGCTGGGCCCCTGGGGGAGGCTCTGCACCCACTTGCAGGCTCCTGGGGGCTGGACTGTGGGCCATGGGGGGATCCAGGGCCTACTCAGGGTCCTCTGGAGGGCATTATTGTGCCCAGCCCTGGTCCTACAGGCCAGGAAGGGCAGCCCGCTGCTCAGAAATCCCAGACTGTGTGCAAGGACGGGATGAGCTGCGAGGTCTGGGTACAAGTGGCCCCTGCCAGAATCTGCCTGCCCCTCTGTGCTGCCTGGCCAAAGTTGCCCCCCGGGGCCCTGTGCCCATGGTGCCAGGGCTGCCGTGACAGGACTTTGTCATTGCAGGTGGAGGCGGAGCTTTTGCAGGAATCCCAGGTGAGACAGGGCTGACCATCTCAGGCCAGGGGGAGGACAGGCAGGTGGCCAGCTGGGCAGGGGCTCTGGCCCTGGGAGGAGTTGGATACCCAGCATCCATCCAGACCTGGGAGTCCCCTCATGGCTCCCACTCGGGCCCTGAGCTGACTTCAGCACGAAGGGACACCGATCCCAGGCCTGTTCCCACCCCCAACCCATCTGCACAGAGCCCACCCTTCCAAACCCAGCCCCCTTCAAGGAGGGCAAGACTATCAGCTTCAGCAGGGGTCCAAGACCCCCAGGGGGTCCTGCAGTTCCCCAGAAAGTGGCCTGTTGAACTGCTGCTGTCTGAGCAGGAAGCGGCGTCCAGGGAAGGCGTAGAAGGGGCTGCTGGCCCAGGGGGCTGGGCCCTGATTTGCTCTCGGTTTCCACAGGGGTCGGGCCCTTTGGGGGCCAGCAGCCTGGGGTCCCACTGGGATACCCCATCAAGGCACCCAAGCTCCCAGGTGAGTCAGGGGGATTTCAGGAGGTAGGACTTGCTGAGACTCAGCCTAGGGGGACACAAATGTCCTGGGGTGGGAGGGTGGGGACTGGTATTGAAGTCACTTTTGGTCACCAGTCAAAGAAAACCTGGGGAAACCCAGCCACAGATGTTAGGCACACGTCCCTGTGCATGAGTGCACACGCACACAGAGACCCAAAGCTCTGAGGGAGAGCCGTTGTGTCGATGGTATTGGACACCATGGGAAAGAACTCTTCACCATCAAGTCACCCGCAGGGCCACCCCTACCTTGGCTATCAGCCAGTGGCATTCTTCCCGTAGAGAGGGACCCAAGGATGATGCTCAGAACTCAGGGCCAGGTGGGCCCTGGACTTGCAGGGGGAGGAATGTCCCGTCAGACCCAGGGGGGAGGGGGTCCTCCCTCCTCCACACAGGGCTCTTGGGGGAGGGCGGTCTGTCCACCCAGGGGGGCAGCCCTGGAGCCCACTCTGCTCTCTCCTCAGGTGGCTACGGACTGCCCTACGCCAATGGGAAAGCACCCTTCAGTGAGTCCGCCCTTGTGGGCTTCCAGCCTTAGGGGCCCAGAGAGGGTGCTTCCACCCCAGCCCTGGGCAGTGGGGTGGACTGTTGGAACGGGGGTCTCCAAAGGACACAGCATGAAATGTGGCCTTGGCCTGGTCCTCGCTCCGGGCCTCTCCCTCTCTTGAGGCCTCCAAGAGCCTGTCCTCTTCTCTGTCCTCTTCTGTGCAGTGGGAATCCCAGGGCCACGTGCCCATTTGTATTTGTTCTCACTCCTGATGGGGATGACACAGGGACATTCAGGGCAGCAGGACCCTGCAGGGAAGGGGAGGGACGGCAGAGGTGGCCAAGTCTGCTTGGGTAAAGGTGACGCCAGCCCTCTCCTCTGGCAGGCTACGGACCTGGAGGAGTGGCTGGTGCCGCAGGCAAGGCCGGCTACCCAACGGGGACAGGTGAGGCGGCCTGGTCACTCCCAGGCAAAGGGGCCCTGGTCACTGTGACTGGCCAGTGTCCCTCCAGCCCTGCAGGCTCTGCCTGCCGCAAAGCCCCTCCTCACCCGTGTGTCAGAGGGCGGGTCATCCTGGGGCTGGAAGCAAGTGGGCACCATTCTCAGAATCTCCCCTCCGACCCCTGTCCTCCCCCAGGAGTGGGCCCCCAGGCGGCTGCAGCGGCAGCAGCTAAGGCAGCGAAGTATGGTAAGCACCTCTGGGGTCCTCAGCCACCCCCAACCCACCCGCAGCACCCCCTTACAGTTGAGAACCGCCTCACAGCTGATACAGTGGCCCCCAGGCCCGCATTGATCTATCCCTCCCTCGACTCATCCCTCTCCTGTCCATCCATCCCTCCTTCCATCCATCCCTCCCACACCTCCCCTCCCCACCCATCCCTCCACATCCCTCCCTCATTCCTTCCTCTCTCCATCTCTATGTCCCTTCCTCCATCTGTCCCTCTGTCCCTTCACCCATCTATCCATCCTCCCATCCATCCATCCATCTATCCATCCATTCCTCCCTCCCCACCCAGCCCTCCACCTCCCTCCCTCCCTCCCTCATCCCTCCCTACATCCACCCCTACATCCCTTCCCCCATCTGTCCCTCTTTCCCTCCACCCATCCATCTCAGAGGTGGGGGCAGCGGGTGGCAGCTTAGTGGAGGAGGTTGGCCTTGTCATAGGAGCTGAATGGAGAAGAGGGACACATTGTTCCTACCTGGGGCAAATCGGGGAGGCTTCCCAGAGAAAGTGATGTTTCGCTCCAGCCTTACACTTTATGAGGAGCCTGCCTCGAGGTTGAAAGAGGCAGGAGGAGCATGAGCAGGGGGGGGGGTGCCTCGGTGGTCAGAAAGACCGTTTGAGGTGGGACCTACACAAGCATTTTTAAAACTTAATGGTTTTGCATCCATTTAATGCATACCATAAAACCTTAACGCGTTCCTCAAGCCCAGATCTCTTGGATGGCGTTGCCGCAGTATGGCGCGGGCATCCCATTCCCGTGCCATGCGCAGGGTGGGCAACTGTCCCCTGCCAAAGAAACCCTCAGTTCAGGGTCAGACCACAAGGGCTGAAGTCCCCTCCTCTGTCCCCAGCCCCAGGGAGCCCTTCCTGTTTCTAGGGTGGGTCAGAAGATGTCTCCCACCAGCCTGGGGGACAAGAATGTGGGGAGGGGGACCTGCCCTTGGGGGCCCCACAGGCCCCCCTCAGGCCCCAGAGGCCAGCAGGGGCTGGTGGGGACGACTGGAATGCGGGAGCGGAGAGCAGGCAGGAAGGGGCTGCCAGGGCTGGGCGGCCAGGCACTTGGATGACGAACTTGGCCGGGTCTTCGGAACACAGGGAAAGGAAGCCTCGAACATTCCTTTGGGGGCCCCTCTGGCCCAGGGAGCCAGCGGCTTGTGGTTTCTCAGTATGTGGCAGTGATTAGGGCTGGATCTGTCCGGAAACGTCCAACTCCCTTAATGAGTGTGTGGAAAGGGACCCACTGGGCTTCAGGAGCCGAGGCAGGGCCCCCGCAGCACACCAGGGCCGAGTCCCCGGTGGAATGGTGCTGGTTCCAATGCCAGCCTCCTGGAGACCTTCCTGCGCAGCCCCAGGGGGACCCTGGAGAGCCACACACGCTGTCCCTGTCCCACCAGGTGCTGGAGGAGCTGGCGTCATCCCTGGTGTTGGAGGTGGTGGCATTCCTGGCGGGGCTGGTGCAATTCCTGGGATTGGAGGCATTGCAGGTACTGTCAGGTCCAGCAGGGCTACAGGTGGCCTTGAGCGGCCACAGGCAAAGGACCTCACCCTCTGTGGCTGTCCTTCCAGGGGCCGGGACTCCTGCGGCTGCTGCTGCTGCTGCTGCAAAGGCAGCCGCCAAGGCTGCGAAGTACGGTGAGTGCCCCGGATGGCAGGTCCAGGGCACAGGGCCTGCCCCAGTCTCCTTGTGGGCTCTGGAGACCCAGTCCTGGGTAGCTGGAGGGATTTGCCTGTGTCCACCTGGGGAGCCTCCTTCTCCCCTCCCACTCCTTGAACTTTCCCATTCTGGTCACTGCACCTGGGATGCCATCTCCTTGTTCTCTGTGAATTGAATGCATAAGGGGCCCTAGGGAGCACTGGCTCCTCCCCACCCATCCCCACACTGCCCCCATGCCCCAGGGCTGTTCAATGGCCGAGGTGCCCATGGGTGGTAGTTCTGATCTTGCTCTAGAAATCAATCATGCTCTTCCCAGCCGCAGACCCAATCCTGCTAGTCCTTCAGGCTCTCAGAGTTCCTCCCGACCTCTGAAGAGCTGAATCCATGCAGAGCAGATGCCATCCCACCTGAGCAGCAATCCTGCACTCAGACCCTTACCCTTTAGTTCCCCTAGACCCCTGCTCTTGGGGGTCTTCAGAGGCCCCCACAAGGCTTAGGCCAGAAGAACAATCCTTTTTCTTCGCAGGAGCTGCTGGGGGCTTAGTGCCTGGTGGGCCAGGAGTTAGGGTCCCAGGTGTTGGGATCCCAGGTGTCGGCGGAGTCCCAGGTGTTGGAGTCCCAGGTGTTGGAGTCCCAGGCATTGGGGTCCCAGGTGTTGGGGTCCCAGGCATTGGGGGTCCAGGCATCGGGGGTGTACCAGGTAAGCTGGACTTGCTCCTTGTGTGTGCATGTGCGTATGTGTGAGAGAGAAATAAACTATTGCTGAGATTCTGGGGTCCTCCCCAAGACCTCACTCATCTGTCCACACCCTTGGCTCTGCCTCACCCCTTCATCCTCCCTCCCTCGACTATAACAACCTCCCACCTAGCTGCCACCAGCACCAGCTCTTCTATTTTCCTTCTGGCTGTTGCTGTGCTGCCAGAGGCAAGAATCACACCTTTTTCACCTGTTTCCAACACTTAGCTGAGTAGGTGCTCAGTAAATTGTGGATAGATGGGTGGGTGGATGGGTGGGAAAATGGGTGGTCACATATTGGCCATGCAGATGAGCAGGCAAATTGATGGATGAAGGAGTGAGTGGGTAGAAGGATGAGCAGATGCAAGAATGGGTGGATGGATGGATAGCTAGATAGATAGATAGATAGATAAAAAAAAGTTGGATGGAAAGATAAATACATAGATAAAAAGACAGATGGATAGGCAGCTGGGGGACTAAAGTAGTTAGAAGGATGGATAGATAGATGGATGATTGGATGGATGGATGGATGGATGGATGGATAATTGGACGGATGGATGGATGGATGGTTGGATGGATGGATAGATGGTTGGATGGATGGATGGATGATTGGATGAATGGATGGATGGATGGACGGACGATTGGAGGGGTGGGTGGATAGTTGGATGAGCAGATGGATAGATATGTGGGTGAAAGTGTGGACCAGCCAATGCAAAATGGACAGCTGGGCAGATGTTTAGCTGAATGGGTAGGTAGGCAGGTGTGTGGGTAAGTTGATGGATGGGTGGGTGCATAGAGGAACAGGTAGGTGATAGGTAGTTGGACTGAGGTCCAAGGATAGACAGACAAATGGACAGACATAGAGGTAGGACAGCAGGTGAATGGATGGCTGAGCAACTCTATCTTAACTTGATAGAGAGAAAGAAGATGGACAGTGGGTGGAGAGAGGACTGTGCGCTGAGCATCTCTCCTCTATTTTCTCCTGAACATTTGTGTCCCTTTGATCTTTTCAGGGGCCGTGTCACCTGCTGCTGCTGCCAAAGCAGCCGCCAAAGCAGCCAAATATGGTTAGTGTCCTGCCCAGCCTGTCTTGGCCTCTACTTGCCTGAACCAAAGGGCTCTGGTCTGCTTCCTCAGACTTGCAGAGCAGGTCCCTGGCAGAGCTGGGACACGGAGGGGGCGGGCCCCAGGAGAGCGAGTGTCTTCCCAGTGGTCCCCCACCATGAAGCCATAGGCTGAGAGAGTCCCAGAATGACTTTCCCCAGAGAGAGACCCCCTCAGAGGAGCCCAAGCCTGGGGATGAGCCTGCTCTCAGTCTCCCCGACAAAGGGAGCCCTCTCCAAGTACTCAGAGAAGAGGGAGGTCATCCCTGTTTCCTGCCCTTGAGGACCGGACGTGGGGGAAGCGGACATCTTTTCCTCCTGTCCTCCTTCCCTGAGGTGCCTCCTCGCCTGGTTATCTTCCCTCTGCAGGGGCCAGAGCTGGAGTGGGCGTTGGAGGCATCCCCACGTACGGGGTTGGTGCTGGGGGCTTTCCTGGCTATGGTGTTGGAGCAGGCCTTGGAGGTGTCCCTGGAGCTGGCCTTGGAGGTGTCCCCGGAGCTGGCCTTGGAGGTGTCCCTGGTGCTGGCCTTGGAGGTGTCCCCGGAGCTGGCCTTTCCCGTGAGCCTAAGTTCTCTCTAGTAGAGGGGGGTGGGGCTCCCCAGCTGGCTCTGCAGGGTGGGCAGGGAGTGTGGGCTGGACTCCAGTGTGCTCAGAGACAGTGGGGACAGGGCAGGACTCTGGTGCCTTTCGGGGCCGGGAGCTGGAATTCTGCCCGCTGAGATGGGGTCTGAGAGTCTGTCCCCTCTTCCCTTGTAGCTGCAGCCCAAGCAGCCGCTGCGGCTAAAGCTGCCAAGTACGGTAAGTGGCCCTGCCCTGCCCACCCCCAGTCCCTGTCCTCCCCCACCTCCTGCTCCCCAAGAGCTGAGCACTGGACACTCTTCTGTCCTCCAGGTGCTGGAGGAGCTGGAGCCCTGGGAGGGCTGGTGCCAGGTGCTGTGCCAGGTGCAGTGCCAGGTGCAGTGCCAGGTTTAGTGCCAGGTGTGCCAGGAGCCGCAGGGGTGCCAGGTGAGCAGTGTCCCCCACTGAGAGACGGGTTTGGTTTGTCTCGCAGAAGGGTCCCTGGAGGTGGATGGAAGCATCCGCATCATTTTACAGATGGGATGGCTGAGCCCAGAGGCGGGGAGGGACCATGATCTCCCCAAAGTAGCCCAGAGGGAAGAGCCCTCCATGGGGCCCGGCCTGCTGATCCCTGGCAAGGCCCCTCCCTGCCTAGGGATGCTGGGGGATGTCACCTGGCTTGGTGGCATCAGATTCTGGGTTCCACCCCTAGCACGGCAAAATTTAAAAATAAACTAAATTAAATTAAAAAGCAATTCATTTCCTGCAGTAGTTTGGATCCTGGAGCTTTCAGGATTTTAAAGAATTACCTGCATTCAAAGTAGAAAGCTCCACAAATCCTTTGGGGTAGGTCTAGGAGAGGATCATGGTGCCCTTTCCAATCACTACTTTGGCCCAGGGCTGGATTCTCACAGGCTGCTTGTCAGGGCTCCACCGAAGCCCAAGAAGGGCAGGGAGGTTCCCGGGGGCCAGGGGTGGTCCTCAGAACCTCAGAACTCAGGCTGGACCTGCATGTGCGTCCCCGTCTCCAGCATAAGGTTGTGGCACAGGAAAAACTTCTGTGGGGGATTTTGGGAGGGCTGAGAGGGGGCAGCGGGGCTGGGGATGGCTCCCCATTCCCTGTCTTCACCCACCCAGGAGTCGGGACCCCTGTAGCTGCAGCCGCCAAAGCTGCCGCCAAAGCTGCCCAGTTTGGTAAGTGGCCCCCCAGGGCCCGACTCCTGTTCCAAAGCATTGCTCTCGGGTCCCCTGCTCAGAGGTTGGTCATATTCTGACGGTGGGGACTCTCCTCGCCTTGGCTCCTCTGATCAGCTCTGGGGGCTGGTGACATTTCAGATTGGGGAAGCAGCTCAAGGTGGCCCTGGAGAGCACTCCCCCGCCCACCGTCCTCCACCCCAGCTGAACCCGGCCCGGATTCTGGGCTCCATGCTGGGTTCCAGCCACGTCTCTCTGAGTGACTAGGGTCCTTCCTGCTACCTTCTGAGGGCCACCCTGGCAGCCCCAGGCACACGCACTTTACTGAAAGTGGCCAGTGGTGGCAGCCCGGCCAGTGGTGGCAGCCCGGCCAGTGATCCTTCTTCTTCCGATCAGAATCCCAGGGCCCATGAGGCCCAAGAAGGTTCTAACTCCAGGTTCACCAGCCTCCTGGCTCCCAGGAGGCCGGCTCTACTCAGCCCCTCTGCCAAACGTGCAGACAGAGGCCCCAGCCTTAGGAACCTGCTCACGGCCACAGCTCAATGGCGGCTGAGCAGAGGTTTAAACTAGGTCTGCCTATCTTTAGTAAAGTGCTCCCTTTCCCTGTCACTTTCAAGTCTCCAGGGGTCCTTGTCCCCCAAAAGGCCTTGATCTCCTGAACTTGCACAGACTTTGTATTAGGGAGGAGGAAGCTGAGACTCATCATGGGGAAGTGTCCGGCCCAGGGTCTCGTGGCCAGTCTGCCCTGGCTGGGGCAAGAACCCACGGCCCCTGCCTCTGGACCCAGGGCTCTTTCCAGCACCTTCCTTCTTCTTTGCTCAGGCCTTGGTTAGCCAGGCCCTGGGCAGCTATGGGTGCTCTTGCAGGATTGGGCCCTGGAGTCGGCGGAGTTCCTGGTGGAGTTGGGGTTCCTGGTGGAGTTGGGGTTCCTGGTGGCATTGGAGTTCCTGGTGGTGTCGGGGTTCCTGGTGGCGTTGGGGTTCCTGGTGGCATTATTCCCGGTGGTATCGCAGGTGAGTGTCGTGTCTGAGAAGCCTGGGGGTCCCCTGCAGCCCCCATGGGCACCATCCTGAACCCCCCTCCTTCCAGGAGCAGGACCCGCTGCTGCCAAATCCGCTGCTAAAGCTGCCGCCAAAGCTCAGTACCGTGAGTGCCCACCTCTCCCCCGTGCCCAGAGGGCCCAGGGCCCCCGCACACACCAGACCCACTCTGTGCATCCGGCAGCATCATCGGCCCCAAGAGAGCAGGCGGAGGGCCTGAAAGCACAGATTCAGGGAGAGGGAGTCCTGGGTTCCAATCCTGGGTCCGAAAGAAACTGAGTGACCTTGGGGTTCTAGCCGGGGAGTCAGCAGCCCAGCGCCCGCCTCGTGCAGAAGGCTGTCAGGAGAATTTAGTGAGTTCACCCGAGATGGGAGGGCAGCAGGCAAGGCAGGAAAGGAAGTGGGGTCTACACCGCAGCCCCAGGTTCCAGCCTGTGGATGGGCTGGACTTGGTGGTCAGTGGCCATCTCAGGAAGACTCTTCCAGGGCCACAGAGCGATGGATAAAGGTAGGGAGTCTGGAGACGGGGACAGAGCCATGGAGGAGGTCGCTGCTCCACCAGGGGCCCTTCCCTTGGGGTTGGACTTAGCTCTCAGGGCAGGACATCTCCAAAGGGTCAAGCTGCCTGCTGCCCAGGTGGGCTCCCTGGAGGAGGAGGCAGGGCTCAGTCCCACTGCCCATGTCCCCACAGAGGCAGCTGCTGGGCTGGGTGCCGGGGTTCCCGGATTAGGAGCTGGTGCCGGGGTTCCTGGATTTGGAGCTGGTGCCGGGGTTCCTGGATTTGGAGCTGGTGCAGGTGAGGAGGTTTCTAGAGGTTAGACAGAAACTGCCCTCCCTGAGCTCAAAGGCAGGAGACCCCTCCTCCTCCCAGCACTGCCACAGCTCCCCCTGGCACCCAGAGGTGCACAGTGAACCCTCCATTAGATTTTCCTGGGCAGTCAGAGACAACTGGGGTCCCAGGGGGAGGCAAAGCCAGACAGAGGTCTCCAGGCTGCCAGGTTTCAGAGGGAGCCATGACAGGGCTCCAGACCTCAAAAAAGCCCACCTGTCCCCCCAAGGAAGGAGGTAGGAGTCCTAGGGTCGGTGGGCAGGTGTAGGCCAGCCCCAGGGCCTTCAGGAATGCTCCACGGCAAGGGGGCCACTAGGAACTCCAGTTCTTCACCATGTGATGACTGAGCCCCACTCGGTGCCCAGCCACAGTGGGCCTGGAGGGGATAGGAGGGGACAGGTGGAGGGAGGAAGCACAGGTCAGCCCTCAAGCCCCCACATCAGACTGGCAGTGGCCTGGTTAGACAGTAAGCCCGATGTCTGGCGACCAGAACTCCTGGCAGGAGGGTCAGGACTTGGGAGCTCTGAGGAAGCACCGTGGCCAAGGAAGGCAGGGTGGGCTCCCTGGAGGAGGAGGCAGGGCCTCAGGCAGGGGCTCAGCTGCTGACCCCCCTTTCCCTTGTCCCCAGTGCCTGGATCTCTGGCCGCTGCCAAAGCTGCCAAATATGGTGAGTGTGACCCCCTGTCCCTGCCACGCCACAGCGGTACCCTTGCCACCCCGCCGGCCTGACGGCACAAGGCCAGGTGGGCAGGACAGAAAGAGGCAGTGCCTAGGTCACGTTGCTGGCAGCTGCAGTTCTGGCCCCTGCCCACTAAATGCTTGTGGTGCCTCTAACCCCTGTGACAACCAAAACCCCCCAGGGGACAGGAACCAAGGCCCCTCTGGCCCTGACAGTTTCTTGAGCCCTTGTGCAGGGTGGTGCAGGCCTACACTGGTGTAAGGAGGCCGGCAGCCTCCGCCTCCTTCCCCACCCTTTGGCCAGAGCAGAGGGGTCTGTTTCCTGCTCCGGGCACCCCCGGCCCCCCTCCCTGCCTTCCTGTCAGCCTCGAGGACGTGGCAGAGCTGCTGGCCTTGCCACTTGGCACTCTGGACGTCCCGCCTGGCCAGACCCATGTCTGTGGCCCCCGCATTCCTGGCCTCCTGGGAGCCAGGAAGGGGCCTCCACCAGAGACCTGCCAACTGGCCCCCGTCAGTCCCCTTGGGGCCAGTTTCCATTTCGGAAAATCCCAGCTTCCTCAGCCCCACCCGCCGCGGCCCCCTGGAACCCAGGGCCGATTCTCCTGTTCCCCACGGGCCGCTCTGCCTGCCTGAGTCAACCCACGTCGCCAGGGAAACGGAGCAGTGTGGTGGGTGGTGTAGCGGGGCGGCTGTGGACTCCGGTGGCTCTTGAGCTGTGTCCTGCCTGTGGAACGAGCACACCGATTAACCCCTGCTTGCCTCTACTTTCTCATCTGCAAAATGGGGGCATAGCCGGCTCTGCCTTTCCTGTCATGACGCAATGAGCTAGATAAAACTCACGGAGCCCCGTGAACTCCTGTGCATGAGCTGTGCAGAAGCCACCCACACGAACCATAGGATTTGGCACTTACAGAGTACATAGCGGGTGTGCCCTACTCTCACACACCCAGAGGGCAAGCAGGGCATCCTGCAGGGCATAGGGACTCTGGGGCTCAGAGAGGCCACAGCCGTGTCAAGTGGACAAGCCAAGATTTGAACCCAGGGCTGTCAAGAGCTGAGACCAAGTAGTCCAGAGTCGGCCATGTTCACAGCCACACTGTCACTCCAGCACGGTCCAGGGAGAGGAGGCCTGTCCACTCTGTGTTGGAGACGGACAGACCAAGGCCTGAGGGGAATCCCCCTCACTGACGGCAGAGCCAGGAGTCGGGCCCGGGGCTCAGGGACAGTCCTTCCCCACTCTCCTCCCACTGGTCACATGGGCTGGGCCACCTATCTGTTTCCCTTGTGTCCCTGGGTCAGGGAGACCCATCCTCCAGAAACGGGGGCTGATCCTCCACCCTCTCTCCGCAGGAGCAGGGGGCGCTGGGGCCCTGGGAGGCGTCGGGGGTCTCGGTGGAGTAGGAGTCCCAGGTGGCGTGGCAGGTGAGTCGCACCTCGGGAAGGGCTGGCAGGGAGGGAGACAGGGACCTGGGACAGTTCCTCCCTGAGCTCCCGCTGTGTCCCCAGGGGCCGGACCTGCCGCCTCTGCTGCTGCTGCCAAGGCTGCTGCCAAAGCCGCCCAGTACGGTGAGCACAGGACGTGGGGAGCCCCCGCCGGGGTCCATGACAGGCCCAGGCTCCGTCCACCAGGGGACAGCACCGTCCCTCTGCAGGCAGACTCTGCTAGGACTCCCTGACCTGCAGGTTCAACGTCTGCTCTCTCCACAGGCCTCGGGGTCGGTGGGCTCGGAGCCGGAGGACTGGGGGTCGGTGGGCTCGGGGCTGGAGGAGCCGTCCCCGGCGTTGGCTTTGGAGGTGAGAACTGTTCTAGAATCAGCAAGCATGAGGCGCATGTGTGTCAGACAGACAGACAGACAGACAGGGAAAGCCTTTCTTCCCCCCGCCGGATACTGCTCAGCCTTCCTGAGCAGCAAGGTGAAACAGGAGAAAGCAGGACCCAGCGGAGCGAGGGACAGGGACAGGACACCTGGGTGCCCCTGGGTGACTGGAACACAATCTGAAGCCAGGTCGGATTTCACTCTCAACCAGCTTGACAAGGTTTCTCAGCAGGTCACCCAGTCCCTCTAGAGCACTTCATATATGACATCGTGAGCCACTCCACTGCTCAGGCTGTCCCCTCTCCCAGGACGCCTCCCCCTCCCCCACCCTGCAGTGCATCTGCCCATGGGGTTGGGTGGACCTCGCCCTCCCCACCGGGTCCCTGAGGCTGTAGACCAGGGCTGGGCAAGGGGCAGCCAGGCCACCTAGCAGCAGAGGTCGCCCACCGTCCTCTTTCCTCTCTTCCGACCCACTGACCACCACGAGTGGGAGTTCCTTGGAGGGGCGGTCAGGCCCATTTTGCAGACACGGAGATCAAAGTCTGGAGAGAAATTACTTTCCCAAGTCTGTGCCCCCATGGCCAACCTGATGACATTTTCCTCTCTCTCTGGTGGTCATTGGGTCCCCCTACCTAAACTGGCCTGCAAGACTCTCCCTGTGTGCTCCACAGGATGGGACACACAGCAGGAGCTCAGTAAAGGCTGTTGGAAGGCTGGATGGCGGGGGGTAGGGTGGCTAGATGTGGGAGGACAAGTCAGGGCCTGAACTCCTCGTCCCCCCATGCCCCATCTCTCCAGGTGTGTCCCCAGCTGCAGCTGCTAAAGCAGCCAAATATGGTGAGTTGTCCCTGCTGGCCTCCTCCAGCAGGCCCGCTAGTGGCCCTCACCCCTGCCGTCACCCCCACCCTGGCTTAGGCCTCCCTCCTGCTCAGGGTTCCCCTGAAGGTCTGTGCAAGACAAATCCTGGCCCCAGAACGGAGACAGAGGGATGTCAGGGCGCCCACACGCGGGCCTGGTCCTGACCCCTATCTGCCCTCTCCTCAGGTGCTGCTGGCCTTGGAGGTGTCCTAGGAGCCACCAGGCCATTCCCAGGTGGAGGTAGGGCTGGCTCTGCTCTAGCAGAGGGGGCTCGCGGAGCCCACATCCACAGAGGACCCGAGGCTGGGGGTGGACAGGGCGCTCCAGGACAGGACACACCCTGGGCCAAGGGCAGGCCTCGGGGTCGAGGCAATGCCAGAAAGTTCAGAGGCGTCACATCAGGGCACTTGGTGGGGACACATTTAGTTGAGGAAGCTGCCTGGCTGCAGGGGAGCGCGCGGTGACAGGGAGACTCAGCCCCAGACAGGCTTGGGTGACCAGGGCTTGCCTCCCCCCGGCCGCCAACCCCTAGTCTCCCCTGCAGGAGTGGCAGCGAGACCTGGCTTCGGATTGTCTCCCATTTTCCCAGGTACACCCAGGCGCCGCGCCCCGGCCCTGTCCTGAGCTCTGCCGGGTCCCTCCTCCTCCCCTGCTTCAGCTCCTGCTCAGAAGGGCTGAGCCGGTGTCCAGGGTTGAACCCCACGACCTCAGGTCACACCAGGCCAGACCCCAAGCCGACACAAAGTTGCCCCATCCCCGTTCTGTCTCCTTCCTCTCCAAGGACAGGGAAAACATTGGCTTTTCTAAGCCACATTTCATGCCTCTGGGGTCCTTGGGGGACAGATGGCTTCTCCATCATGTTCCACATGAGGCAAACTCAGTTCAGGGAGTGCCAGGGACCGCTCCAAAGTCACACAGGGAGCTGAGGCCGAAGCCCAGAGTCAGCCCCTCCCGCCACACACCCTGTGCCAGCCTCACCAGCTGGGAGGGTGTGGTGGGCTCCCGGAAGCAGGCACCCTCAGCCCCTCTCCTTGCCTTGTAGGTGGAGGCGCCGGGGGCCTGGGAGTCGGCGGTGAGTTTGCAATAACAGATGTCCCCTGTCTGGGGGACTCAGGGCCCCAGCTCCTTTCCTGGAGTAGAGGGAGTGGCTAGTGTGGCCATAGCCCTGGGCAGGTCCTCTGGTATGGGGGGAGCCTCAGGAGGAGATAGTAGCCAAGCCCTTGGGTAGCCATCGGAGCAAGACAGGGACCTGGATCACTCTGGGGCAAGGGACTCACTGGAGAGACCGACAAGCTCCAGAGGAAGGGACAGTAGAGCTGTCCCATGGGTCAGGTCGAGGCCAGGCAGCACATGGGGGTCTGACTGGGATGGGCTGAGGCACCTGCTAAGTGGCCAGACCTCCAGGGCCAGGCCACTGAAAGGCCTCTGGCTTGGGCTGTGGAGGACAGGTTCAGGGCATGGGCAGGCTGGCACAGGAGGCCTTTGCCACCTGCAGAGACAGGACAGGCTGGGCACACAGCAGGGGCGCTGGGAGAGCCCTTCCCCAATCGCACCCTTCCTCCACAGGAAAGCCCCCCAAGGCCTATGGAGGGGCCCTGGGAGCCCTGGGATACCAAGGTGAGTAGAGACGCAGCTCTGGGAAGGGACAGGGGACAGGAGGATGAAGACAGCGGCCAGGGTCGGGGGCCACTAGCCTGGGCTGCTGCCCACCCCCACCTGTAGGGAGGGACCCAGGGAGAAGGGCAGGGAAGGAGAGTAGCTAGAACAGGGGCACCCAAGCCAGAGCAGTCAGAGGTGGGCAGGAGGGTCATCAGCCACCAGCTGGAACTTGCTGGAAAATGCAGATGAGCCCGTGGGAACTGTGTGGTGTAGGTTCTGGTCACCTGCCCTCGGCCACTGATGCTTCAAGTTGTCCAAAGCAGGCATAGCTCTGGCCTCGGTCCCGCAGGAGAGTGGAGGCCCTTCTGCGCCCACCTGCCTGCAGTACACAGAGGAGGTGGCAGAGTCCAGGGGTGGTAGGGTCAGGGACAAGCCCAGATTGGCCTTTCCTAGGTTGCCAACTGTCCATCAGGCTGATGCCGGTGGCCTTATCGAGGGGCTTTTCAATCACCTAGGATGAGCATCAGAGAGATGCCACATGGGCCCTGTCCTCCGTCCCCTATTTGTCTGCTGGTTGCCACCAGGTGGCGGTAACGAGCCACATGTCACTCCAAAGGTGGGAGGGACTCCAAGACTCCAAGACCAGATCCAGTGGCCTCTTACCCCAGAGGGAGACCAGAAACCATTTACCAATCAGACCCTCCCCCAGAATCCCGCGTTCCTCTTCCAGCTCAGGCACAGACTCTCCCTTTCTCTGGACCTCAGTTTACTTTTGTGATAAACCCTCCCCTTCAAGGGCCCACCCCACCCCCTTAGGCGGCCATCCCTTCGAGACACCTGGACTCCTCCTTCACCCCATCTGATGGGGCTGCTCTGCAAGATGCCCAGAAGCAGGGGACCCTGTCCAGCCTGGTACTTTCCCAACCTAGCCCCCCACCACCAGCCTCGATTTCATCAATGACACCTGGGGCCTGGCTCCCACCCCACCTGCCCAGTGGGAGTTTGACCTGGCTTCTCCGAGCCTCTGCTTGAGCAAGCAGGGGGCTTATGAAACAACCGGACGCTGGGCACGGTGGCGCGCACCTGTAATCCCAGCAACTCAGGAGGTCGAGTCAGGAGGATCAAGAGTTCAAAGCCAGCCTCAGCAATTTAGTGAGGTCTTAAGCAACTTAAAGAGACCCTGTCTCTAAATAAAATACAAAAAAGGGAGGGGCTGGGATGTGGCTCAGTGGTTAAGCATCCTTGGGTTCAATCTCCCATAAAAACAAACAAACAAAAAGCCCAGGGTGAGGGACACCGGCTGACCTTTGTGTGCATCTCCCCTGCCCAGGTGGGGCCTGCCTGGGGAAATCCTGTGGCCGGAAGAGAAAGTGAGCTTCCCAGGACCCCTGACTCGCGACCTCATCAACGTTGGTGCTACTGCTTGGTGGAGAATGTAAACCCTCTGTGATCCCACCCCAAGCCCCACTCAATGCCCACCCGGGAGGGGACGGTAGGCCGGCGGCCTTGGAAATCCACAGAACAAGGAATCAAGAGCAGTGGCCACGTACCCCGACTGGGAGGCCACCGGCTCCAGAGGCCAGGGCCGGTGGGCTCAGCCCCGGCCCCACCCCTCCTCCTGGGAGTTCCCCCCACACAGTCTCCATCTCCAGGGGAAATTGGTGCTACTTGTTGGTGCTTTTGTCTTCCTGGGGGGAGGGAGGAGGGTAGGGCAGCCCCTGGGGGACCCCCACCCGGGGTCCTCTGAAGATGGTGCAGATGCTTCCTGGGCAGTCCCACCTCCCCCTGCCCACCAGGAGCCACCCCCGGCTGCGGTCCAGCTGGTACCCAAGCACCTGAAGCCTCAAAGCTGGATTCGGTCACAAGATCCTTCCTCTCCTTGGGTCCGCTCAGCCCTTTCCCCCCCATCAATGGCTGTTCCCCACAACTGGGGCACCTTTGGAGTCAGAAGAACCCCCACTCACACTGGGAATAGCCCCCTTGCTCTTGTGGAATCCATGTGTCCGTCCATCCACCCAACCGTCCATCTGTTCATTCTTGTCCCCAGTTGACCGCCTGGTGCCACTAGCTGGCTGGGCACGCCCACACCCACCTGGGTAACCTCCCATGGCAGCCTCCGCCCCTGCCACACACCCCCGACGCTGGCCCAGGGTGTGAGGGCTGTGTGGGCTGGGGCGACAGGACTCTCGTCCCCGGCCTGGGTCCCCCCACATGCAGTACTGTATCCCCCGTCCCGCCCTCGAGCCACTACTACAGAGCATGTCCCGTCCCGCCCTCCCCATCTCTTCGTGTCTCGCTGTGATAGATCAATAAATATTTTATTTTTTGTCCTGGATATGTGGGGAATATGTTTGATTGTGGATGTTCTCTTTGGGTTTTATTTTTGTGGTTCATTGAAAAACATTTTTTTCCTCTGATCTGGGGAGCTGTATCTCCAGTCGAAGATTCATTTTAATCACTTTGATATAACTCTGGATGAAACACACATATTTTTTAAATAATGAAAAAGAATTAACTGCTTCGGAAAAGACTAATAAATCAAATCCTTTTAAAGGAAAGTGTGTTGGGCTCCTTTGTGTTTCTCCATCTGCCTTCAGCTCCGGGCCCAGTGGGAACAGCGCCCCCCGGTGGGGAACCTGGAACTGCCCCTGGTGTGTGGGGAGGCTTCTGGGCCCTCCATCCCTCTTCAAGGTCGGCTTGTCCTTTGGCAATGGAAGCCTCTCTGCAGGGAGGCAGGGCCTGGACAGCCTCTTCCACAGAGGTGGGTTCACCCACTGGCCATATCTTCCCCTGCACTTGTCCCAGAGGCCCAAATCCCCAAGGGCAGGTCTTGGTGGGTGGCCTCTGGAGCCTGCAGATGGAGGGTGGAGGAAACAAAGCTGACCCCTCTGTCTAGACCTAAGCCTTGAACTTCACGAACAGCCACGAAGAGGGAGGGATGGTCAACCTGAGCACATTCAGAAAGGAGCTGAGGATCCCCTGCCGTCCGTCTCCCCAGGGAAGACCCCCCCTTCCTGAGGGCCCACGGAGGCACCACTTCTCTTCATTTTGCAGCGTGAAAACTGATGCCCTGAAGCTGAGTGGTCCCAGCAGCTCAGGGGCTGAGGCAGGAGGCTCCCAGGGCCCAGGCCAGCTCTGCAACTCAGCAAGACTCTGTCTCAAATTTTTTTAAAAAAGGGCTGAGAATGTAGCTTAGTGGTAAAGCACCCCTGGGTTCAATCCCCAGTACAAAGGAGAGAGAAAGGAGGGAGAAAGAAAGAAAGAAGAAAAGAAGAAAGAGAAAGAAATGACACCCTGCAGGTGGCAGGGGGACACGGAGCACCATCCTTAGGTGACCCACTCCCACACTCCATCCTGCTCCCCTGGGAACTCCGAATCCCCAGGCCCAAGAATGTGCTCCCCTGGAGGCCACATCCGCCCTGCTCTAGGGGTCAGATTCTAGAATTCTCTCCCCAAACCACTGAGCCCATTTCCGGGACCCTCATGGCCTCCTGCAGCCTGGGCTGTGGGCAGACCCTTGTCAACGAGGAGGGTGGCCCAGGAGCTCTGTCGGGGATGGGGATGGCACTCTCCCTGCAGCAGGAAAGCTATGCCTCTTGCAAGCAAGGACCCTCACGGGGTGGAAAGAGTGGCCTTGCTCAGGCCAGTAAAGGGCAAAAGAATACAGTGGGAGGCTGAGACAGGAGGATCACAAGTTCAAGGCCAGCCTCAGCAATGGCGAGGTGCTAAGCAATTCAGTGAGGCCGTATCTCTAAATAAAATACAAAATGGGGCTGGGGATTGGGCTCAGTGGTTGTCTGCCCCTGAGTTCAATCCCCAGTACCCCCCAAAAGAAAAAAGAATAGAGTGGGGAGGAGTTGGGGGGCCAGACAGCCAGAGAACCTGGAGGGAGAGGGAGAGCTGAGGACATCTGGAGGACAGGTCAGGAGGCTGGGAGGGTTGTGGTATTTATTGTGGTCCAGGGTAATTGTCCAGTGACAGGGACCCAGCCTTCCCAAGAATCTGGCAAAGTTGATCGGACACCGCTCATTCATTTCCCCATTCAAGGAGAAAGACCTTCTCGGGGTGCCTCCGCAGCCCGCTGGCCTGAGAAAGTTGGCAAGACTCGGTCCCCAGCCCTGGGGCCCCTGGCTTGGGCTCTCATTACTCATGGCTTTAGATGTCACCTGTACACTGGCAACCCCCAAACTGACGTCCCCTGCACGGGCTTCTCCCCCCAGCCCAGGACTTGCACGCCTGAGACCAATTCCAACCTCGCCATCTGGAAGTCTTAGAGATGGAGATGTGACCTAGCAGGGCTCTTCCTGTCCACCAAAGCTGTCCCCTCCTCACCTTCTCTACCTCAGGGAATGACTGCAGCTCAGGCGGACCCAGGAGCCCCCTCTCTCAGGTTTTCCTGCCTCGCTCTCTGCAGCAGTTCCACCAATGAATTCTGAAGCATGACTCTCAGAATAGACCCAGGGTGGTCCACCTCTCCCCACCTGCAGGGCAAGGCCCTGGCCCACCAGCCTCTCGGCCTGGGTTCCCGAAACAGCCTCTGGGTCCTTCCCAATTCTCCTTCAGCCTTCTCTCTCCCGCAGCCCAAACGACCCTTTAAAACGGAAGTTGGTGAAGGCCATGACCCTGCACAAGCTACTTCAGTGGCTCCCACCTCCCCAGAGCACAAGCCAGAGGCTGTTCAATGGCCAGGGAACCCCTCCCTTGGTTGCATTGGCTCCCTCTCCTGCTCCAGAACTTAAATGGCACCTTATCAGAAGGTCCCTCCCTGGCCCTGTCTCTCTCTCTCTCTCTTCCTCCCCCCCACCCCGCCAGGGATTGAACCCAGGGGCACTTAACCACTGAGCCCCAGTCCCAGCCCTTTTTATTTTCTATGTAGAGACAGGGTCTTGCGGAGTTGCTTAGGACCTCAGTAAGTTGCTGAGGCTGGCTTTGAACTTTCGATACTCCTACCTCAGCCTCCTGAGCTGCTGGGATTACAGGCATGCGCCACCATACCTGACAGGATGGATGAGTACTGTTTTAAGAACAAAATAGATGAAATTCCTGCCTTTATTAGTTAGAAGTTCTGGCAGGAAGATATGAGGGGCTGCTCCAGGCTGGTAATGACCCCAAGGACATCCAGGTCCCATCCTCAGAACTCATGAACGCCTCTGTTTCCTAGAGCTGCCCGTAACCGGACAGCAAGGGACTTAACTAACAGGACTGCAACGTCTCACCATTCTGGAGGCCGGGGCTCTGGGATCCACTGCTGGGAAAGACCTGTTCTATGAACGCTCCTCTTGTGGACTTCACACGGCCATCTTCTCCCTGCACCGTCGCCTGCCTTCCTTCTGTGCCTGACTGTGTTCTAATCTTTTCCACGAAGGACTGTGAGTTCAAAGGATTCAAGGATTTCGAGGATTGCAAATTTCCAGGATTTAGATTCGAGGATTCGAGGATTTCGAGGATTATATAATCACACTCTGAGCCACCGGGGCACGGATTTCAACATACGGGTTCTGGGGAGACAATTGAACTAGTAACTGTTGCCATATATGGGGAAAGGGTCTTCGCAAATGAACTTGAGTTAAAGATCCTGGTGTGTCCCAAATGCCATGATGAGTGTCCCTATAAGAAGCTGGAAGGACTGCAGGCCAACAAATGGGAAAATCTAAATATAATAAGTAAATTCCTGCAAACGCACAACCCACCAAGACTGAATCATGAGGAAATAGGCCATCTGAACAGATCAATAATGAGTAAGAAGTTGAATCTGTAACAAGAATTCCAACAAAGAAAAGCCTAAGACCAGATGGCTTCCCTGGAGAATTTTGCCAGACATTTAGAGAATTAACACCAGCCCTCCCAAAAGCCTTCCAAACAATTAAAGAGGAGGGAACACTTCCAATCTCATCCTATGAGGCCAGCAGGACTCTAATATCAAAACCAGACAAAAGACACAAGAAAAGAACTACAGACCAACATCCTGGATGAATACTGATGCAAAAACCCTCAACAAAACTCTGGCAAACTAGATACAATAGTATATTAAAAGATCATAGGCACCTAGACACAGTGGCACACACCAGCAACTCAGGAGGCTAAGGCAAGAGGATGGTAAGTTGGAGGCCAGCCTCAGCAACTTAACAAGGCCCTAAGCAACTTAGCAAGATCCTGTCTCAAAATAAAAAAAAAGGGGGGTTGGGGGCCGGGCATAGTGGTGCAGGCCTGTAATCCCAGCAGCTTGGGAGGCTGAGACAGGAGAATCGTGAGTTCAGAGCCAGCCTCAGCAAAAGTGAGGTATTAAGCAACTTGGTGAGACCCTGTCTCTAAATAAAATAAAAAACAGGGCTGGGGGTGTGGCTCAGTGGTAAAGTATCCTTGGGTTGAATCCCAAAAAAAGTAAAGGGTTTTCCTGTTCACAAGACAACATACTCCTACATGTAGAAAACCCTAAAGATTACACACACACACACACTCACACACACACACACAAAAGTTGTTTCTATGTACCTACAAGTGACAATATGCAAAAGAAATTGAGAAAATAATTTCATTTATAACACATTTGCATCAAAAAGGAATAAACCTAATCAAGGAGGTGGAAGACTTGTCCACTGGACCCTACAAAACATTGCAGAAGAAATTAAAGATGACACAAAGAAATAAAAAGACATCCCATGCTCATTGAGTGGAAGACTTAATATGAAGTGATCCACGTCCTCCACCCAATCCCTAGCAAAAGCTCAAGAACAGTTTGTGCAAAAACAGAAAATTTTATCCTCACATTCACATGGACTCTCAAGGTGCCCCAGAGGACCCACATATTCAGAAAAAGAACAAAGTTGGAAGACTCACACTTCCCGATATCAAAAAGAAATTACAGAGTTACAATGATCAAAACAGTTTGGGGGCATAAAGTCAGACACATCATCTCATGGGCTAGAACAGAAAGCCCCAAAGTAAGCCCTTGAATATATAGTTACTCGATCTTCAACCATTTAACAAATGGGGCAGAATCTTCAAGAAAATTATGTGGGGAAACCAGACGCCCACCTGCAAAAGAATGATGTTGGAGCCTTATCCCGAGCAACATAGATGAACTCAAGGCTAAAGACCTAAATGTAAGACCTCAAACTATGAAAATTCTAAACAAAACAGTAGAAAAGCTTCACATCATCAGATTTGGTCATGATTTCTTCGATGTGACACTAAAAGCCCAGGCAACGAGAGAAAAAATAAACAAAGGGGAATAATCAAACTCTTGTGTATCAAGAACACAATCATCAAAGTGATAACCTACAGAATGGGAGAAAATATTTGCAAATTATGCACCCGAGAAGGGAGAAATATGCAGCATTCATAAAGAACTCCAACAGGCAAGAGTGGTGACACTCGCCTGTGATCTCAGCTCCTCAGGAGGCTGAGGCAGGAGGATTGCAAGTCTGAGGCCAGACTGGGTAACTTTGTAACACCTTGTCTCCAAGTATTTTTTTTAAAGGGGTTGAGGGCATAATTAAATGGAGTATTTCCCTAGCATGTGTGAGGCCCTGGATTCAATCTACAGTGCAGAAAGAAA